TCAGTCTGTTTCCCCTGTCTTTAGGCATGATAATTTCCATATATTAGTTTCCTATTCCTGCTGTAATGAATTTCCACCAATTTAGTGACTTAAAACAACACAAATTTTCCTTACAGTTATGGAGCTCAGAAGTTCAAAATCAGTTTCACTTGGCTAAAGTCAAGTTGGCTCCTTCTGGAGGCTCTGAGGGAAGAAACCATTCCTTGCCCTTTTCCAACTTGCAGTGGCCACTGATAGTCCTTGACTTGTGGCCCCTTTGTCCCTCTTTGAAGCACATCACTCCAGTCTCTACTTCTGTCATCACATCACCTCCTCCTCTTCTGCCTTTCTCTCGAGAGGATACTTGTGATTACATCACTGCATTCACTTGGATAATCCAAGATAATATCCCCATCTAAAGATCCTTAACTTAACCCCATCTGCAAAATCTCTTTTCCCATGTGAGGTGACATTAACAGGGCCTGAGGATTAGGACGTGAACTCTTGGGGGACATTACTCAGCCTTTCACATGGCTATTAGACAATCACTGTAGTACAAGATTGCATAGTTTTACTCTCCAGAAAAAAAATCTGTTTGGTGTTAAAGATACTTAGGAAAAGCCCATCTATCAAAGTTTAAAGCACTGGAATAGAATATAACAAGGTGCTTACATTTCTTTGTGGCACAAACATTTTCATACCTGTACTCAGATTTTTTTGTTGTCTTTATAATTATCAGCTTAACATTGAAGAAGGTTTTTGTGTACCTCACTTTCCTATCACATTGGAATAAAAGTATCAGATATCTGCAAATGTTGTCAATTTTCATATGATTAATTTTGAAAATGATGCTTTTGTTGTTATTGTCAGCTTTATTATATATTTTATATTGGTCGACATTAATCCATAGATTCTGGAAATATGCTAGCATAGAATGTTAAAATGATAATTATAATTTTCTGTGATAAAGCTTAAAGAAAAAGTATGTTTTAATGTATTTCTTACTGAAGGAAATTTTATTTTGAAAGTTTTTTTTTCTGTCAACATGAGCTAAACCCCTGTACCATTAAAAGAAAGAAACAGGTTTTAGGTTACAACCACAGAAGTGAATTTAGCTATCACCAATTTTTTAAAACAATCAACTTGTAGAAAACTTAATTAGTTAACTGTTTGAAAAAGTGTCAGAAGTGTTATTTTAAAACAAACTAGCTATCACTGTGATTGAATCATCTCCATCAAAACATGGAGATCAGGTGTATGCAACCCAGTTTCTCTCATCATAAATGTTACTTATGTTAATACGTTAGTCCACAGATGAGTCCAAATAGCAATCATGGTTTAAGATTCCCCAACTAGCTTTTAAAGCAAAATTAAAATAATTGCTCTTAGGTAAAAATCTCAACATGCTCTGAAAGCAATTTTATTAAGTTTCGATGCTGAATTTACAATCCTTGCTTTTAAAATTTCAGAATCAAAGCCATGTTGTTAGCAAACATTCTATCATTAGTTGGAGCTCTCTTGATGGGGTTTTCGAAATTGGGACCATCTCATATACTTATAATTGCAGGAAGAGCCATATCAGGACTTTACTGTGGTAAGTCACACACACACAAACACCCCTGCCTTTGTCTGAAAATTACTCTAAAGGCAGATGTGGTAACATATGGGGATATTTTTGAGCCTAGAGTGGCAATACAGAGGGAAAGGCAGTATAGCATAAAGTTGAAGTCCTGAGTCACAGGGTTTTGGGACCAGTAAATGAGAATTGTGATGTTATCTGTGTTCTTGTCCACTGCAATGACATCATTTCTATTGTATGATCTCAGAAAAATTATTTAACTCTGACTCTCAGTTTTTCATCTATTAAATGAAGTGAATGATAATATCTACTTTATAGGGTGACTTGAAAATGCATGTAAAATGTTCAGGATAGAATCTGACATACAGTAAGCTACTAATAAATGCTAGCTGTTGTTATTACTCCTGTGGTTCAGTAGACACTGGAAGACTGCTACACTCACACCTCTCACTCGGCCCTTACAGCCTGCCTGGCTGCCATGTCTCTGTGTCTCTTATCTGGTAAAACCTTGACACCCTGGACCCTACTCTTAGTCCACATTTCCTAGCCCTGTCAGAATCCAGACATGGCTGAGTGAAGCATTAAAGTCATAGTACCCATATGGAGAGAAAATTAGGGAGAAGCCCCTGGTATGGAGTTGAGAATGAAGGAAGAATTCTCCTCCCATGAGCTTTCTGCTAAATAGTGGGAATCACTGGTTTTTTGAGACAGCTTTTCAAATTTTTGGAGGCAACTAATTAGCAGAAGTCTGAACAAAGGGTGAATCATTCGATCTCTAAAACAAATGGCAAAAATCTCTTAACTTCTCAATGCCAATGAAACCCTGATTCTGATGGTGCTGGGCTGAGTTTTTAACCCCATTTTCACAAATTGTAGTTGGCTTTCAAGGCACTAATATCCACTGGAGATGGAGAAGGAGTGGCGAGGACACAAAATTTGTGTTTAAAGTATATTTAACACTTTTATCTGCAGAAAAGAAAAGACTATAATTCATGTGTCTTCAATAATTAGTTGAAGCAAAAGTCGAAAATACCCACAAGATAGTAACTTAATTAAATGTCTCTTTTCATTATTTTCAATGTTAATACAAATAATTGAAGGTCAAGGTAGCTTTATCAAGGTGAAGAGACAACCTACATGTGAAAAGGGCTTTGGATTCAAAATGAATCAATTCTGGCACTGTCTCTGCCTGGCCTTAGATGTATTAATTAAATCTGAGCCTTGGGTTTTTCTTCTGTAAAATGCAGATAACAGCACTATAAAAGAGGTCCAAATCATGATTCTTCTTTCTTTCTCTCCATTTTGAAAAATATAGTGTGAAAAAAATTGAAATATATTTTTTAAAATTGGAAATAAATGCCATAAACATATTATGGAACAACCTATAATTAGCATAGCCAAGTAACTTGTACTCTCCAACCATCTCTTAAAGTATGTCTGATCTATTCTGAACATTAAAGTTACTAAAAATTATAGGAAAAGTAATTTGACTTCAGGTGTGTGACTTCAGACCTTATCTATATTATCTACACTATTCTGTTCTTGAGGTACAGTATTAGATATTACGAAAAGACAGTAGAACTTAGAATATGGCCTAATAAATGTGTGTTTTTTCTTATTTAAGATTAATGGTCACATATTCGAGTCACCTATAAAGTTCAGCAGAAATACAGATGCTATGCCAGCCATGTGAATGTTCATTTGAGACATTAGAAACAGTTCAAACGCGGCCGGCCCGGTGGCGCACTGCTACAGTGCGCCGCTTGGGAGCGCAGCGGCGCTCCCGCT